TGAACATAAGTTGATTTTTTACTTATAAATTAAGTTTCTCCTCCCTCACTCAAAGAATAAGTTGATTTTTGACTTACAAAAAGCTATAAGCTGTATTGTTAAGATGAACCAAATACATCAAAATAGCTTAAATTAAGTTAAAAACTGAAATAAGGTAGAAATAAACCCTACCAAACAGGGCCAAAGCTTCATTACTAAAAAATAGGATAAATTACAGTCCCTTCCCCTGAGGTTTTTGACAACTATCGAAATCTCTCATGTAGTTTCAATAATTATAGAAACATTCCTTACTTTTTTCTGGCATCGTAAAGATTCCTCCCCTCCTGTTAATTTAAGTCAAAAGGTATTAACTTGGTTATGCAAATGACCTTAATATCTTTTACACTTAATACCCTTTAATTATAATTTACCTATATATTAAATTATCATTTTATTTCTCACAATATAAGTTTTGAACTTTTATTATAAAAATATATATATATATATCAATCATTAATGAAATTAAGAAATAATATCCATGTTTGTTATTTGAATTAATTTTGAGATTTAATTTAATAAAAATAATTTAAATGAAAGAAACAAAGATGGAGATATAGATTTTAGATGTAATAAATAACAAATTATTTGAGTATTTTATTATTTTCAAATAATTTATTCCTTCAAGTAAAATTATATTTTGATTAGATGTAAGAAATGACAAATTTAAATAGTTTATTATTCTCAAATAATTTCTTTATCTTTCATTCCCTATCATTTAATTTTAATTTATTATAGCGTGTTTAGATATTTTTTCACTTTTATATTTATTTTTTAAAATTTTATTATTATGGTGAGAAATATTGACATATTTTTTTTAATGATAATTAAAATTTGAGAATAATATAGGATTGTAAAAAGATAAAATGATAATTTTTTTAAAATATATATTTATGAGGTAACATTTGGTAATTTTTATAAGTCAATTTTTTTTTATTATAAATATGAAATGTTATTATATTTATTTTTCTTAAAGAAAATTTAATACACAAATATGTTTACAAAACAAAAGAAAAATTCATGTTTCATAAGTTGCTATGGTAGTGGGTGATACTAGCTAACATTGATGAAAGAGAAAAAAATGTTGAAAAATGCTGAGGAAATAACATAGAGAAGAGAACAAATAATAATAATAATAAATTATATAGTGTTGCTATTTGTTGCAGTGACACTATGAAAAAAATGAATGAGAAAATAAATAGAAAGAAAAATGAAAGAAATAAAATAAAGAAAATGGAAAGAGATGGATAATTTCTCTAAATATGTATTTTTCATACAAATAAAAATCAAATACCTATATGCATTTTTAAATTTTTATTCAAACTCTAACTTCTGAAATAATTATTTATAAAATTGGTGGTCTTTTTAAAAAATAAAACATATTTTATACTTTGTTTCGTAATTTTCAAATAAATGACTGTATTTAATCTAGTATAAGATTTAATGGTGATCACTTTATGCTCTTTTTTTTTTAAAATTTTTAAATAAGGTAATATTTGGTTATTCTACTATATATATGCTTGTCTTAACAATTTAGAATTTTTTTTAAATATTGTATAGAATTTAATAATTTTGTATTATTAAAATAATGTATGGGTCTTTATTAATTTTTTGTAAAGCCTAATGGGAGATGAGTGAAATTTACAATTTGAATATATAAGGGCAATCTTGAAATTTTTTACTTGTAGTACATGACGTCAGCATATTCTGTTAAATAAATTAATAAAAGATTAATGGTGGGGGAATCTTAGTAATAGAAGTAAGGATAATTTCTGTAATTATTGAAACTATAAGAAAATTTCTTATAATTATCAAAAACCTCAAAAAAAGGTGAGTATAATTTACCCAAAAATATATTTCAACTAGATCAAACCAGATATCAAGAAGTTGCTGCTTTTTTAACTTTCACAAATGAATTAGCCTTTCCTTGAAAACTTTCATTTTCATTGCCATACTATGATATACAGGCCGGCCCACAACTTTTGGGGGTCCGAGCGGAACTTTCAAGTTTGAGACCCTTATATCTCACATCAAAAATAAAATAATAAAAAAATAAAAAATATTAATGAAGTAATAAGCACTCACAATTTTTTTATTTTTTTTCTAGTATCCACACAAAATTTGTTGAATATAACTTCTAAAATTTAGTTTCATAGACTAAAATCTCAACAAATCATTACAAAAACTTAAAAAAGATAAAATCTAATTTTGTTGATTCGTAGTTTAGTAAAATCCATTTAAAAATAAATCAAATAATAACTTCATGTTTTTCATTATGAAGATGAAATCTAAAATTACAAAAAAAAATCAAACGGGTAAATTGTAAATAAGTAAATAAAATATGAAAATCACAAATTTGAAATGAAAAATCTAATGACTAAATATATTTTATTTTCTATAAATGAAAATCTTTACAGAACTAAGTTTGCAATTTATTTATAACTTTTTGTTAGGATAGATTTGCATAAATGACAATAATTATAAATAATAAAAAAAAAAAGGTGAGTTGTAGAAACGTTAGGGCTTCAATAAGATTTCTCTCTATGTTGTTTAAGGGTGATTCTATTTGTACCCAAATAGTTACTTTATATGTCCATTTAAAATTTAAAAATTTAGTTTTTATTATATCTTAATGTAAATTTACTAATAAGAACAATACACATTAAACTCTAAAATAAAATAAAAAATTTCCATGGTACACCTTAATCACTTATACTTATTTTTCATATTCAGGTCTCTTCATCTTCTTTTCTAAGTTTCAATTATTTTTTTTTTATCTTCTCCATCACTCTAAAACTCCATTCCATCCCACTAAACATGAACGAAACAATACTCTGGGAAAATAAACAAATAAATTGAAACCCAAGGAAGTGTTTTTGGCTTGTTTTGGCAAGTGGGTAAAAAGCCACTTTTTGGATTTCAACTTATTTTGAGTCACATCACTTTTCTACTTTTTTATATATATTTTTTTAAAAAGTCAAAAAAAAAAAACCAAAAAAATCAACTTTTAACATATTTCCCAAAACAAATCAAAACTTGCCCTTAGAGCATCTCCAACGATATATCTTTTTTCTTTCTCAAATTTGAGTAAAAGCTCTATTTGATATCAAGTGCTCTAACGGAGGTTTTTAAAGCTACATCAGAACACTAGTTGACTGGGCAAATGTCCGACCAGTCGACCAGCCAGTGTAATTTTTTCACAAATTTTTGCCTTGAGGTAATCATCGGTGGTGAAAATCCAATGATTATGAACAGTGATTTCATGAAAGACACATCCACTTTCAATTTGAAAGATTTGAAAAATTTTAAATTTGATGAAAGATTTAGTGCTGGGTTGGAGCAGTAAAAAGTGAATTTTTTCATTAAATTTAAATTTAATGAATTATTTGGTGAATAATTAGAGATGGTCTTAGGTTTTGGAGATAGAAAATTGATGAGTCAGTGGCCATTGATGAGGAACGCACTTGCCAAAATGAGGTTTTGTCAAGGGCAAATTGGTGTAATTAATTAGAAGAGTTTTTATTCATCGCATGCATCCTTGATGTTGGTTGTATATGTATGCTTTGCTTCCACAGAATCGAAAATCATTTTGCTTTTCTTTATTTTTGTTTCCTTTCGATGAAGTATTGAAATGAGCCGTTTCCATTTACAGTTTCACAATCTCAGCCCTAATCAACCACCAATTAGAATTTAATAAATTTTAACAGAAAACATTTCTTACGAATTTTGAAAAATATTTTTTTGTGTTTGCTGGTAGTGGTGGTGGGATAAAAGTGAAGGTAGATGTGGTGGTGTGATGGTGGGATAAAAGTGGAGGTAGAGTTGGTGGTATGATGGTGGATGGCAATGACAGTGATGATGACTGTGGCCATGGAGCTGGTGGTGTGGTAGAGGAGGTGAGAGTGAAGATCAGAAATTGAGAGAGAAAGAGAGAGTTTTTTGACTTAATTTGTTTATTATTTGGGTGTACTGCAAATTATAATTTTACCTTAAATGATAATTTGTGAAAAAACATAGGGTGCATTGAGAGTCAGGTATTGTTTGGGATGTTCTAAATAAGTGCACTTTTTAATTTTTTATGAAATATGGATTGGATATGGGTTGGGTTTAAAGTGATGTGATAGAGAGGTAATGTGACTTAGAGTAATGATAGAAACCCCCTTTTTGGAGGATCCCCACAATCTCCATAATGATCCACACCATTTATGATGTGGACCTCACATATACATGAGTGGGCTCCACACATCATGAATGTTGTGGATCACTATACCTCGATAATCTAATTTTAAAAACGAAAAATATTTTCCGTCCAAATTAGTTTTTCCTTTTATCACAAGCAATGTTTTCCATTAAATTGTTATTTGTCATACTAAATGCTAAAAAATTGTTATTTGTCATACTAAATGCTAAAAAATTACAAAATAAAATAAATTAAAATTAAAAAACTATGTTCTGCCAAAACAAACAATGGGAAATTTACGCTTGTTAAATCTATGTCCGGCGTTTGCTTAATGTGCCAAGAATGTGAAACCTCCAATGAGAATAATATTGTTCAAATTTTCTTCGTTTCTCAAACTATTGACGTTTTTATTTTATATTTTAATTTTAATTTTAATTTTAATTTATTTTATTTATTTATTTATTTATTTTTTGTAATCATGCATGTTGGCCAGTAATATATTTGAGTATATACAATACTATCCCATTTTGAACTTTAAAAAAAGAAAAAAGTTATGATAAATATTAGGGGTTGTTTGAGATATTTTAAATAAGTGCACTTTTTGACTTTTTATGAAATATAGGTTGGGTTTGAAGTGATGTAATAGAGAAGTGATGTGACTTAAATAAGATAATGTGACATAAAAAGAATAGTAATTTTTTGACTTTTTGATTTTTTTGGAAGATGCCAAACTTAACCTAATGTCCTACTTGGCTTGACTTGAATTGAATTATAATTTATACAGGCATGAAGATGTAATTGATTATGAGAAGAAGGCACCCTATGCAAAGATGGCACATCCTGAACCAGATCATTTTTACCCTTTGCTTGTAGCTCTAGGAGCTTCTGGAAAGGGATCAAAAGCTGAGCTCATTCATCAGAGTTGGGGTGCTCGTTGTCTCTCTTTTGCTTCCTTTCGATTTTCAAACATTCCCTAAAACCTTAGGAGCTAGCTACCTATATGCATTCCATGGAAAGAACCCACCAACCTGATAGGTTTTGAAAAGCGGTTGCAGTGACCGTAATGGTTGCGGTAGCACGATTGCAGTTGCGGGATGTAAAGGTGATAGCGAACGGTTGCGATAACCAAAACTGTGATTTTTCTTATTTTTCGCACAATTTAAAGGAAACTTATCGATACACATATTTTTTTTCCATAATCACAATTGGGGTTTAAAATAGATTTTGATTAATTTTTGTTAATTTTTTTAATATTTTTTTATCAGCAAAATGAAACACTTTATTGATGAAACTAGTATGAAAAACTTAGTAGAATACATCAATAAAGAAGGCCAAGGAGCCGCACACCATAGTAACCCATCCTAATCCCAACTAGGTTGGCACCAAGAGGACCACACAATCATCTGAAGGCTCAAGGCCAAGTTGGTAAGGTACCAACAAAAACAAACAAAACTAAAAAACACACGGACCCAAACAGACAAACCGCAACACCTAACAACACAACCGCCCCTGCCCAACAGATTTCTCAACCCGCCCTAATACATACTCAAATCTGGTTAAGATTATAAATAAAATCACTAACCGTGTATTGCCACACCTTTGATGATGATATTAACCAAATAGCCACCTTGGTTTTAATCAAGTCAGATAGACCCCAAATATCAGCCTTAGCCTCTTTGAAGACACAATCATTTCTTAACTTCCATATAGGCCACAAGACAACAAGTGGGACAATCCTTCAAATCTTCCTTTCTTGCCTATTTAGCTTACCACCCTCCCACCAACTCAGTATGCCAGCAACTGTATCAGGAATGACCCATTGCAACCCCCACCACTTTAATAAAGAAAACCAAACATTCCACACAAAGGGGCAATGTAGCAACACATGAAGCATTGATTCCTTCTTTTCTTTACAGAAGTAGCACAAGGTGGACATACTCCTATAAGAACCCCAATCTTTTGTAGGAACACCGAAGTTTTAATCTTATGCTTCCACGCGAGTCAACCAAAGAATTGCACTTTGGGAGGAAGAACATTATTCCAAATCAAATTAATAGGTCTGGGAATAAACCCTACCTCCACAGTGTTAAGGTTGTACAAAGAAGATGCTGAGAACATACCTGTGGAACTGGTTGTCCACTGTGGGTGATCCACTATTCCCCTGCTAACTGTAGGGACAGAATCCAGGACAGAGGCTAACCTCAGCATTTCCAATTTTTTCCATTCAAAAAACTCCCTTCTAGGTAATATATTCCACTCCCCTGATGTTACCTTCAGATTAGAAAACATCCTAAGTGAGCCTTTCTTTTTCCTTGACAGGCTAAACAATCTGCGAAACTCTTCTTTCAAACAATAAAAGCCACACCACTTATCTTCCCAAAACCTTACCCTACTACCATCCCCCACCCTTATCTTAAAATTAACCCGAAACCTGTCCAGCAGATCTGGATTGAAATTGGGCACTATGATTATATCGGACCATAATCTTGACAGTCCATTGCTAACAGCACCAGAAGGCAGCCAACTATACTCCTCCTGATTATACTTGCTATAGATCACTCTTCTCCACCTTTGTCTCACCTGCAAACCTCCACACCACTTAAATAATAAGCAAGAGTTAGCAACCCTAATTTTTCTAATGCCCAAACCTCCTTGACCAATACTTGTAGTAACCTCCTCCCACTTGACCAAGTGCACCTTCCTTCTAAGATCCAAACCTCCCCATAAAAAAGCTACTTGAATTCTCTCAAATTCCTTAGCCACACCCTTAGGCATTTTAAACAGAGATAAGTAGTACACAGGTAAGCAAGATAAAAATGACTTGACCATAGTCAACCTATCTGCAAAGGACATCATCCTTCTTTTCCAACCAGCCAATCTATCTCTAACATTGTCTAGAACTAGTTTCCACATTTTCCACCTCCCTAGATTAGCCTCTAACGGAAGACCAAGATAAGTTATAGGTAACAGGCCAACCTTACAGTTCAGTTTCTAAGCAAAGTCTGCCAAGAGAGTTTCCTCCACACCCACCCCACAAATCACACTTTTGTGATAGTTTATCTTCAAACCGGACATGAGTTCAAAACATCTCAAAATCCTCTTTATATTGACCACTTCCATAACTTCTGCCTCGCAAAATAACATGGAATCATCCGCAAACTGCAAATGGGATGAAGGAACACATCTAACTCCAACTCTTACCCCCTTTATTACCTCCAACTCCAACGCTCTAGACAGTAACATATTAAGTTCTTCAGCCACTATAGTAAACAAGAAAGGAGAGAGAGGATATCCTTGCCTAAGACCTCTTTGGGAACTAAATTCATCTGTTGGAGAATCATTCACTAGGATTGATAATCTGGCTGAAGATACACAGTCCCTGATCCATAAGACCCATTTTTCACAAAAACCAAAATTTGCCAACATTGAGAAGAGAAATTCCCAATTAACTGAGTTATAGGCCTTTTCAAAGTCAAGTTTTAAAATCACCCCCTTCCTCTTAACCTTTCTCCATCCTTTCACCACCTCATTTGCTGTTAGAACACCATCCAAAATATTCTTGCCCGTTAAAAAGGCAGATTGAGCCTCACTAATTATTTCTGGCAGTACATGTTTTAATCTATTTGACAACACTTTTGATAACACCTTATAAACTGAGCCCACAAGGCTAATTGGTCGAAAATCCGCCAAACCCACAGCATTTTCTTTTTTAGGAATCAATGTTGTAAAGGAACTATTAATCCCTTCGACCAATCTACCATGAGAATGGAACTCATTCATAAATTGCACCAATTCACCCTTCATTATCCTTCAATACTTCTGAAAGCACAATAGATTAAACCCATCGGGGCCAGGTGACTTGTTCCCATCACAGTGTTTTTTTATAGCTGCCCATATCCCTTCCTTTGAAAAATCTGCTTCCAACAACTCAAAATACTGACTGAGCCTCACTGATCTGAAATCGCCTTCAAGAATAGGTATCCAATATATTTCAGATTTCAAATCACTATAAAATGAGTTGTTTACATTTTATTTCAATAGTTAATGATTTTAAGAATAATTGATTTCAAATGTTTACAAATTATTTTTGATCAATATCTGAACTAACTGAATAAAAATACTCACAATTATTAAATGAAATCATTATAAAAATAAAAATTGCGTCATAAATAAAAATTATTTTTGAGGCATTATTTTAGACAACACTTTACAGCTAACTAAATAAAATTATTTACAATTAAGTATTAAATAAGTAATCATAAAAATAAAAATTGTACCATAAACAAAAGTTATTTTTGAACTACTTATTTTATTTTATTTTTTTTAAAGACATTTTTTAGATAACACATTATAGTAACAAAATAAAAAAATATTTACAATTAAATGTTAAATAAAATGATTATAAAAATAAATACAACAATTGTTTATATATTTTTTGTTTGTTAAATAAAATGATTATAAAAATAAATACAACAATTGTTTATATATTTTTTGTTTTACATGCTAACGTAATAAAATAAAATAAAAATTTTAAAAAATTGTAAGGAAAAAAAATTTACATAAGATTTTTTCTTTGGGCTTGGATCACTCCAGTATTTTTTTTTTTAAGCTTTTTTTTTTTTTTTTGAAAGAAAGCTTTTTATAATATTGTAATAGGGTGTAACGGTGTGTAACGGACCGTTACGGTACCGCTACGGCCATTACGTAACGCTAAAACAGTTGTTGTACATGTGAATTTCCATCACATCACTATAATGGCCGTAATGGATGGCAGTAACCGCCACAACCGTTACATAACGACATTACATAACAGTTACCGTCACTTTTTAAAACCTTGAACCTCATGTTTGCTTCCTTGGTCTTTTCACTGTTTGTTTTTAGAGTTAATGCCTGTCGGTTTTTGTTGTTCACTGTAATTGGATTCCTCTGCGTAGGAAAATATCATCACCAAGTATAGTAACTCTTCGAAGTCCCAAGGTCATTTTCACAGGGATTTATTGTGCAAGTCCAAAGGGTTTATGAAATTTTGATTTGAAAGGGAATTTGATTTTGGTCACAGGTTATTGTAAATGAAAGTTTTAATGAGACTAAGGTTCGGAAATCTACTCACAACTCAATGATGTTTGCTAACAACTATTTTTATAACTCAATTGAAATTCATACAAAAGTTGATCACAATCGAAAAACAATTTAGTTCATGAAAAATATTTTTCAAAAGATGATTTCATAAAAACTTGATTGGCTCAACAAGTCAAAATTAGTAATTTAATTCGCAAAGAATTCTAAGCATTCACCGTACCCGGAATTAATGATAAATCAAAGAATTATACAGAATAAAATAATTTTCTAAATAAAATAGCCAATCAAATAAAATAAAACATTACATTAAAACCATGAAGAATAGTTGGCAAATATCAAACATTTGTTGTGGTTTCACTCCTTACCTTAGCAAAATGCTTAGCTACTCATAGTTAAAAACACAAACTTGAAATATAGAAAATATGAATTAAAAGAGAATGAGGACTTTGTTTACAGGTGAAAGTTATACTCTCCGCTCTCTCCAATTGAGACTCCATTCTCTCTATTTATAGACCAAGAGAAGAACAAAACCAAACAAAAATACAAATCTGTCAATTTACGTTTTTCTACCAATAGTGACTGTTCCACTGAATTTTTTGTCTCCCTAGATGATAAAATCACGTTTTCCTCAAAGCATAAGAGTTGTAGGTCTGTGAGTCTTCTTTCCAGGGATATAAAGTGAACCTAAATCAGATTTCTGAGTTAAAAGTTATGGCCAAATTAATGAAGCTGGACAGTTTTGTCAACAATAGTGGTTGGAGTTCATCTGAAGTTGCAGCTCATTTTTGACCTTGCAGTAGCTGGAATGGGAAGTTTTGTAAAAGATGAAAGTTGTAGATCTCTGATATATCTATCTACAGATACAAATCTCATCTGAATCTGAATTTTGAGTCAAAAGTTGTGCCCATATTAATGAAGCTGTCTAGAACAGATATTTCATCTTCAACTTCAGAAAATCTTCATTCCATTTCTTTTTGCCTTATTCAATAGAACTCTAAACCCAACATTATCACAGGAGTGATGCCTTCTTTGTCTTCTTTCATTTTCTTTCTAAAAATTGCAAGTCAATCCAATTTTTTATTTGTTTTCAACTTATTATACAGAAAGCAAAATTAATCTA